ATTAACAGTGCATGTAATTTCTAAATTTAAATGTTGAATCCTTTACAAGAAAAAATCTAGGTAGTATTTTATTAATAGCTTTCATTCAAACCTCATAAGTTACAGTTCCACCAGAAATTGCTGGCTGCCGAAGTGTTACATCAGAGACAGCACCATTTGCTGACAGAATACAGACTGTCCGAGGTCCTTGCTGTGAAAAGGCCATTATTTTTGAAGCTATATCCTGCCAATGCAAAAAATGACCTCATTTGATTATTGTCAATTAACTTAAAAATTTTCAATAGCCCCGTCAATTCTTTTGTGTGAAACAGTTAAAGATGATCAAGTTGCTCTGCAAACAATGCAAAACACATTATGTCTCAGAGGAGGCATCCTACAAAACTATCATCCTTAACTCCATACAAGATGCTTTGTGCTCAGGTGTCTATTGGTCATTCACTACATACAGCATGAACTGATATACACTGAGAGTGACCTATGCTGGTCAAGAACATGCCTTGGAATATGCACAGGAACACATATGCTAGTCCATGACAGATGAATGAGCCAGGCATATGACATTATATTTCTTCATTTGTCCTCAGCTCTGAGTTTCACCTAAAAGTAATGAACTTGAATAATTGCTTTAAAAAAAAAACTAGAGGATTCATCTTCAAGCTTTAGTTTAGCAATTACCCAGGTTAATCTTTGTAATACTGCATAAAGATGCTAACAAATCCCGTTAAAGGAACTCTCTCAACCTCCAAGTTGTATTGTTTTCTCTATCTGAAAGTCCAAATCTAAAGAGTGGATGCATTAATTTCGGTTATAAAGAGCAGAAGGTCAGAAGTTGTATGGACAAGCTTATATATAATATATCTTACCCAAAAACCATTAACAAATGAATTCTGTAGAATGGTATATCAAAAGTATTCTTCATATATGGAGTCAAAAAATGATGGGCCCAGTGAGTGATAATTTTGTTGGCAAAAAGTAGAAAGATGCCATGAAATATACTGGTCAAAAGAAAAAGCTTTACCTATTCTAAAGTGCCACTATCTCATAGAAAACATCAAGCGTCCAAATACATTAGGTCAAAATGTTATAGAAAGCACTATAAACAAAAGTAGGATTGGACAAGCATTTCAATTAAATAACAAGCAAATGATATTGACCTAAAGACATACAAGCTATCAAACAAGCATTCTTTCATAAAAGTTATTATTTAAAATTGGTCGCCATAATTGCTTGAACCAATAGAGTGTGTGACAAATTCTCAATTCAACAATCTGTTTGCACACTCAAGAAACACAAGGCCAGTTACCCAAAAAAGTAATTGAGGAACCATGTTGATTATAGCAAACCATCTACAGGGTTAAATCCTAAAATGTTAAGTTGAAAATACCTAGAGCAGATGAATGAGGTACAAATAAGAGTTCCTCTGTTTTCAGAGGTCAATCATCAAGCTTGTGTGAATCCTTTCTAAAAAATCCATCTAAAGTCCCTTTTTTTTCTTTTTGCAGCTTCTTTTATTTTTGGGTGAACTTCCAGATCAATCACATATAGACTGTAAGCAAAAAAGAAATATAGGCATATTTTGCATCAGATATAGTAATTTGAATTTGGCAAAGGTAAAGATATAAGCCTAGGTCAAATTTGCATGATGTATAACTAACACTACAAGATTCAGATGACACAAAAGATAACTGATAAAAATTAGAAATTTCTTGCACTACCCTTTTTTTAGTGCAGAAGAGGATAAATATTAAGAAAATATATGACAATGCAATTTATTTGTTCGTATATTGCCTACAAAATTAAGGAAACATGAAATTGGAATACCCTTTTTTTAGTGCAGAAGAGGATAAATATTAAGAAAATATATGACAGTGCAATTTACTTGTCCATATATTGGCTACAAAATTAAGGAAACATGAAATTGGAATAGAAATTTCATTGACACCGAGAAAAATCAAGATTAAGGTTTCTAATTCTCAGAATTAGCTACATTTGAACAGTAAACAAATAAGAAAGCACAATATTCCAGGTGCAACTACTTGCCTCTCCAACTTTAACAGTAATAACATGAGGGGTAAAGCCGATCCCTGGTGCACCTGGGTAACCATGAATAGTGAGGTTAGATAAGAGACAAATAATTCTGAAGAACAAAAAATGCTAAAATTTTGAAAAAACTGAATAAGATTCAATATTTAGACAACAGAAGCAAACAAAAAAAAGGTAAAACAAGTTAGACACTCAAGCGATGCAATTTGACTAAACTCAAGCCATGTAGCTAGACTGAAGGCCTTCAAATGACCTTGCTTAAGAAGAGATTTGACACTGAAACTAATCTGCATAAATAACTTATGCAAACTATATTAGTAGACAGATAATAACTGAATTTATAAATACCTAAGGGATGATAACAAAAAAGAATGTACAAGAAAATATCATACACGACACAGAAAATACTGATCCTGGCTCAAATTTAAACTTAAACATGACAATTTAGAATTAAATTTAAGAGCCACAGATGCATGATAGAAGTAAGTGATGTTGGAGAAATATTTGGACAATTGAAATATTTGGACAATTGGACTAACTGGAATTTGCTAAATATACAAAAATAATTAAGGATTTATATATTATTGTAGATATGTACCGAGCTAGATGCAACAAGTTAAAACATATCTGAAGCCAGGGAAGTCTACCTCATAATCACTTGTCTGGAGTTCAAGACCATAGATAAAGCAACTGTATATAGACAGCAACACATAATGACTAATTCATCCTAATTTGAAAAGGAGGGGCACAATAATTACCCAACGCATCAAGTTGTTGCTTCTTCCCCGAACCAGGAGGGCGGCCTCGACGCTTAGCTGCTGGATCAGCTGGATTATTAGAGTACCCAGAAGCTGAAGACGGCGGAGTTAAGGCCAAAGCCATGCTACCATCTGGTCCATATTTTCTTGGTCTTCCTCTCTTCTTCTTCACTGGCTCGCCCACGTTAAATATGCCACCTGGCCTCATTCCAGAGAAACCATCACCTTGGTACAGAGAAGCAGTCATATCCACCGTCTTCGTCACAGCTGAAGGCATGGGGTTGAACGAAAGTCGCATGCCCTCCTGCATCATCCCAGCAGAATTTGGCGCCACCATCGGACTGTTGGTCGCCCCGGCTCCAAAAGAGCCGGAACCCACCACTACACTGGGAGGCTGCGACGAGCTCACTCTCGGAGGCTCTCTAGCGTCCATTTCGCAAAACCCTAACACCAAATCCCGAGCGTCCTCCGATGCACTTCAGCTAGATTTTCCGTCACCAAATCGACAAAAACCCTATCACCAAACCAGATTCGCAGTTATCCAAGTAAATTAAACCTAAACAACGAATTTCAACAAGAAAACGTGCGAGTGAGGACGTCAAGAAATTTCACGCACGCTCTCTTAAAATCGCAACTTTCAGAGAGAAAATTATCCCACCGAGCCCACATTTCACGATGGTAAAAACAGGCGACATTCTTCCACCCAAAGGCAAAAAAAAGAGACGTTTTTGGGCCCCAATCCGCGAAGATACAATGGCACAATGATCCGAGTAAAGGGGAGCAGCAGAAGCGAGACATACCTCAGATCAGATCAATAATAGACTGCCACAAACCAAACCGAGCCGAAGAATGCCTTCAAACCCGAAAGAAATCGCCTTCCCTTCTCGCAGATATAGCCGCGGCCGAACCCTCGCCGCACCGCCACCAACTAAATCAAAGGGGGAAACTACAAAGTGGGGTAAATGGGAATAAATACTTTTTCCCAGCAAAGAAATAAAAAAAGAAATTCTAAAAATAAGTTTCAGCTTTAGCTCGCAAACCGAGGATGACTTATTACATCTTTTTATGCTTTTTCTCTAATTATTTATTGCCTACAATTCTGTGTCGTAAGCTCTCTAATTTTCAGATTATATTTATTTATTTTTTATTTTTTCCACATGTTTCTTTTAATACCAAAACAAGTCTTTTACTGTACTCTGACGCAATAAAACGTATTCTGTGACTGAATTTTAATTATTTCCTCTTTATTTTTCGAGTGATGTATATATATATATATGCATGTCAAATTTCTTTAATGAAAATGACACAAGACACTATGATGCATTGAGGCATTTAATTATGGAAAAATAATAATAGAAAAATCTTGACTGGATTCAATTCCCCTTCAAATTCAAATTGCCCGCTCAATCAAATTGGAGTTTTAAATGTGGGATGTACAAACTTTGGCAGGTCACTGCATCTTACAATATGTCACCTGCCAATTTGAGTGGTCCTTAAGACTGCAATCTTGACCTTTGACTCGTCACACTATTATTCCCAATCATTTTTTCCTTTTAATTAAGATAAAGTTAATTTTCTTTTTTTTTCCCCCACACATTAATTATAGTTTGTAATTTTATATTAATGTCATGCATAGGTCGGTCTCATGCGTCGCATGTGCTACGTAATATTGTATTCATCAAACAAGCATGCCAAAGCTAATCCAATGATGATGATGATTTCTCGTGAGGTTTCTCTATGATTCATGCATCTATATGGCTTATTCGATCGCCAACTTAGCTTTGTCAACCCTACCATCATGTCGAGTGGTCAAAGTTGCAGGCTGGTTGGTATCTTATCGTCGTTGTCTTCGGTTTGGTAGACAACGATACGAGCAATGCGCTGAATGAGAACAGCGGCGGTCATGGAGTTGCTTGAGATGGTTCCCATTAGATTGCGTCGTCTTCGTCATCGATGAGCTTTCTTTTTTGGCTTACAGTGACAGTAGGGTGGGATGGAGGTAACGAAGCATGCACTGGCGTCGTTGAAGGCGATGCAGTAGGCTTGGACTGATGCAGAGGATATTCCACTCGTGTAGAGCAGCTGCCATGGCTGGTGATGCACTCCATGCTGTAGCTTTCGATGTGTCTTGTTGGTATTTAAGGCAGTTGTTTGTATGCTCATTGCACCTCGCACCGTCTCCTGCTTAGAGTAAGAATCATGGAAGCCGGACTGTGTACGTTTGAGCAACCATCAAACCCTGGCAGGGTGAACTGGAGAGGTAGGAGATGCAGCAGTGCCGAGGGCGAGTCATGGGGAGTACGGGCCGTCGCAGAGGACACCAGTGGTATCGTGGGCACGACATGGCCGCCGCGCTCGTACGCGTGCACGTTCTGCCGTCGCGTGTTCAGATCCGCTCAGGCACTGGGCGGCCATATGAATGTTCACCGCCGCGAACGTGCCAGGCTCCGGCAGTCATGCACCTCCTGGTCCTCAGCTCATGCAAGTGCAGCATTTCCGCCGCCGCCGCCGGCACCACCGGAATTTTCTGCCGTTGGTGGAGGCGTATTTCTCGTCTACTCCATCGGTGCAGGTACCGGCGAGGTCTTTGTGCCGTCGATGAGTTCTTCAGCGTTCGTGTCAAGTTCACCTTATCACCGGAATGGATCAGCCGCCTCCTGTGGTACGAGCAAGGAAGGAGGCGACGAGGGGCTGGTGGTGGAAGAGCTGGATTTGGAGCTTCGACTTGGAAGATGATCTGAAGTTAGGGAGAATATATTTCCATCAACGATTTAGTCTTTATGTTCTATATATGCAGGCTGCTTGTGTATTAGACATACGTACATGGTCAGCAACATGTGAATTATATGTAACATTTACCGTATCTCGTTTTGTATATTTTAGTATATCTAAATAAATGATTAAACCTTTGACACATGGGGTGGTGGCGCAGTTGGTTACCGCGTAGGTCTCATAGCATTTGGGTTATCCTGAGGTCGAGAGTTCGAGCCTCTCTCACCCCAATTAAAATTTTATTCCTTTTTTGTTCTCTCTCTCGCTAATTCCTTAGAGAATGGTTGATGTAATAAGCAGGTTGTAGTTTTAATTATTTGGAAGAATGACTTAATTTGAAACATACAAATTTATATGTAAATTACACAGAAAAATCATATAAAAAATTTACACAAAAAGCTCTTTCCAGTCATATAATAATTATTTATTATTCTTATTTTTTTTTTTTAAGCATATCACATCGATATGTGAGATGAAGTCAAACTTTAGTTAAAAATAATATTTTTAATTTTGATGGTTTTTAATATATAATAAATCTTAAATATCATAAATTCTCCGATCATTTCTATCCCAATACACCCTCCCTCCACTCTTATCCTCAACCCATTTCACCAATATACCACCTTTCATATCAATGTCATTTGATTTAGACTCCTCAAACGTATAGTATTATAACATTTTAATTATTCCTACGTCAGAAGTGATAAAAATAAGATTAATTTATGCAAGTCTAATGAGTACAATATTATTAATTTGACTTAACATTTTAATTATTCTCATATGCAAATCTAATGAGTATAATATTATTTATTTTAACTTAAATATTTTAATTAGTGATATGAATTCAACTTATACACACCATGTTATGTTTGATATAGATTCAACGTGAGCCTCAAGCTTTTTAGTAAAAAAAAAATTATAATATCCCAATTAATTTTAGGAGCCATCATTTAACCTATCATGATCATAACAATTCTCCTCCTTGCCCCCGGTCTCTTTACCACCCTCTTCCTCTCTTCCTCTTCCACTCTCTTCCACTCCTAGTGGCACGTCGCTGAAGACGAAAACAAGGACAAACCAGAGAGGTCAAGAGAGGGAGATCACAAAGATCATCGTCGTGACGAAACAAAGATCGATGCAAGCATCACGATGAGGGTGGGTGACCGTGACCCACGACATGGCGGAACAGAGACATCAGAACAAAGAGGCATTTAAGGTATTAGATAAAAAAAGTAACAAATAAAAAAAAATTGAGACATCTTTCGGAAAAAAACCCAAAAAAAGATAATGAAGGGAAACAAAACCACGGGAGTAGCAGGATATGCTGCAACACAGTACACTGAGTTCATCAACTGAGAGAAACATCACTAATACATTAAGTGAACAGAAAAGACCCGCAAAGGGCACAAAACTGATGAATACAATATTTACAAAATACATTAAAACCCCAGAAACATTCCTACAACCAGTCACATACCTTTCATGTGTCTGGCTAGCAATGTTCCACTCATTTTTGGAGCCCAACTGTAAACCGAGAGACAATCGAAGAAGATAAGCAAGTTGCCTCTAAAAATCAGATTCAAGTATCATCATTCACTTAATTTGATCAAATGCCAATACTGTTTGATGCAGAGTCTGGTTGGAGTAAAAAAAAACCATGCAGTCTTGGCAAATTTTCTTGTGAGGCACAGTATTTTCTTAGATTGCAATCTCGAAAACCAGCAAGACATTTGCTAAGCAATCTCTTCTGTCGCATCTCACCAGCTGCCTCAAGTACTCCACATACCGGGAAAACTGAGTGTTTATCATGCACCAATAGCTAAAATGGAGATAATTGGCTAATTATTGTATCAGCAGGAGCAAGGATCTACTCGATGTCATCTATCCAGTCACCATAAATCTTACTAATCTTGTCCGGGCCCTTCCATTTCTCGACTGACCTCTGCACCTGCCTCTGTATCACACCAGCGGACCTCTGCGAAGGAACATCCATATGATATAAATCTGAAAGAGGACCTGGAAGGCTTGAAGCAACAGAAGTGTCCATCGGAGCTTTTGTTAATGTCCCAGCTTGCTTTGAATCTGAAGTGGCCAACGACACATCTCTTACTTCATTCTCCGTAAGCCCTCCCCCATATATGTGTAGTTCTGAGGCCACAAAAGTTATTCATGAATGAGAAGAATATACTGCAGTGTACGTATTTCTACATGTTAAATAGTGCACAAATATTTGTACAAAAATAAAATTAAAAGAGAACATAAATAAGAAAAGTAGAAGGAGGTAGAAGAAGGATGCGATGTGTTGCTGGATTGGTAGATATATAATCATGGATGCATATTGGATACACTATTTTACTCATAAACTATGTTCATTGCTCAATAAACCTTATGAAATGTGCAACAAATTACAGGATTCATGGTCTGCTTTACAGAAATTTATTGCCAATCAATCATCACAGCCTATCAAATTGACACAGGCAGTATTTGATCTTAAAGAAATTCGGCAGCCACAAGCCTAGTTTAATCTAAATGACATTCCAAATAATAATGCATGTCACTCTACAAATTAGATCAGTAAGAATCACTTGCATTATCCTTTTGCAGAGTTACTAGCGAGCCCTAGCTCGAAGATATTATCTAGATATGTATGTGGCCACAAAAACTAGTGATAGAATGTAAATAAATGCATATCTATAATTCAAGCACTAAAAGCAATCCGAGGAAGATCTTCTTGTCGTTGTTCTTATGGCACAGCAAGATTTGAGCTTATGGTTGTCACACCAAGAATTGGAAGGAATAAGATTGGATGTCATACCTGCAGCACCATGAGCAAAGTGGCACTTGCTGCCGAACGGGCAATACCCTGTCATCTCCCACTTGTTACAGATTCTCGTCTTCCAATTCGAAGGCTTCTGAGGTGACCCATTTGCACCTCCCCCGTATCCGCCGCTACTGCCCCCAACTGTGGGCGACAGACTGATCGCCACGCTCTCCCGAGCCTTTGATTGCTCGTCGTGGACGAATGTGCAACTATCCCCGTATGGGCACCCCTCCTCCGTGTAGAACTTCTTACAACGCCTTCCTTTATGAGATCTCTCGGAGTCCCCGATCGCAATCGAAGAGCTCACCGTCGGTATCTGACGCTCCTCTCTGAGCTCGGAGCCCTCCTCGTGAGCCGCCACGATCTCCTGCCAATTAGGCGGCGGCTTGCGGAGTTCCTCGATCCCGTGAGCGAAATTACAGTTCGTTATGTAAGGGCAGGTACCCGCGCGGAACTTGCAGCAGAGCTTCGTCTTGAAGAACATCTTGCCGATGGCTCTCGAGCTGGAGGTCCGATTCCCACCGTGGGAATCCCCTTGGGAGTTCCGAGCTCTCTTTCCCGGAGGTTGCTCACTGCCGGCTCGGGACTGAGACTGGCGGCCGTCGTAGGCGGAGTTGGATCCGGCATCAGCGGACGGGTCTCCGTTCCAAGCACGGTAATCCTCATCCGTCGCCCACACAAGCTGGTCGATCCCAGCCGGGGGCCAGGAATCGCGACCGGGAGGGCCGGACGCGTCCGGAACAATTGCGATGGCGTTGCAGCTAGGATACGCAGCTCCGCCACCGTAATCCATCTAAAATACACGCGGAACCTAAACAGGAGAGACCAAGATCTCAAATTTCCACCGCCGTAGTCGAAAGAAAGAATCCACAAGCTCAGAACAAGCAGCCGGTCGTGGCCAAGAGCGAGGTTCCCGAAAAAAAATAAGAAAGACGCCTAGGTCGGCGAAGGCAGAGAGAGGGATTCTTCAGAAGTCCCAAAAAGACGCCATTTCCGGGAGTGAGGGGACGGAATTGAAGAATCCCTAAAGAATCAACTGGGTACCGATGACGGCGAGCAAGAACTGTGGGGAGGAGAAGATAGAGCGGGGGCGCAGAAACCCTACCGACAGAGCAAAAGGACGGATCTCACGGAGGGGTGCGCGCGTGTACGGACGGCGGGACGCGCGTATCTCAGGAAACGGCCCATTTAGGTTTATTTAACTTGATTAGATATCGACTCCTAACGGTGTTTTAGACAAATAACCATGGAGATCAAATTAATACATAAATTAAGAAAATATTATCAGAAATGTACTGACTCAATAATACAAATTACTGGTAAAAGACCTCAGTTATAATTATTTCTCCAATGTTAGTTATACCCTCTTAGATAATCGATAAATCTTATGTTAGAAAAAAATATCATTGACATCATCATAAGTCCAACGTGATCCGAACTTGTATGTGCAACAACTTCTAACATGCCTCCAAGAGAAAAATGTCGAACTCTCGAGGTACCACCTACATGAAGACCAATGTCGAAAGAGGTTTTTCGATCTGATCTTGTTAACGTTCAAATTAATAATCCGACATCTTTGAGTGTGGACATCAAAGTCCTTTTTTTCTTTCTTCAAGAAAGGTAAGTTTGTCCCCTTTTATAATATTAAAGATGAGTATTTATACTTGATCATAAAGGACAAGAATAAAACTTGTGATAATCTTAGAAATAAATATGAAAAAAAACTTATGATTGCCTTACTAGCCATAAAGGGTAAGAAGAAAATTTAGATTACCTTTATGGTCATAAAGGGCAAGAAGAAAGCTTGCTATTACTTACTTTCGACCTTCATCCATAAGAGCAATGGAGAGGTGACATTCATCTTCTCCTCCCCCTCTAGATACCACATAATAATTACGTATCAGATGACGATTAACTGGTGGTGAATTCTTTATCATTTGTCCCTCTCTGAAGGTGTACTTTGAGGCTCTTACGAAAAGAGCTCGAAATGCAACGCTTAGTTCATCTAACACGAGAGAGTTCTAGATCTCCTCTCGTAGGTCATGATTTTCTAACTTGTGCCTTAAGCATATTTTGCCTTATGACTTCATTGTGATGAATTTCTCTTTATATGAGTTAGGTTTTCTCGATTCATGTGTCTTGATCATATTTAGCCTTATACCATCGCCATGGCAAATCTCTCGTCACACTGCACATTTGGCCTTGTGCCTATGTTATAACAAATTTTTCTTCATATTAGTAAGGTTTTCTTGACTCATGCACCACAGGCACATTTGATTTTACATCTCCATTATGGTAGATTTTTTATCATATGGGTTAGGTTTTCTTAACTCACGTGCCTTTGGTACATTTGACCTTACACCTACGCTATGGTAAAATTTTCATCACACGGATCGGATTTTCTCGACTAACGTGTGTTGGGCACATTAGGCCTTGCACCTTCACCATGGCAAATTTCTTATTAAACAGGTCAAGTTTTTTTAACTCACACGGGTCGAGCTCATTTGGCCTTGCACTTCAGTCATGGCGGACGCAGATCGAGATTTCTCGACTATTGCACCTCAGGGATATTTGGCCTTACGCAACTATCATGGTGGATCTCTTATCATGCGAGTTGGGTATTCTTGACTTGCGTGCCTCGAGACATTTTGTATTGTGCCTCCGTTATTGTCGATTTCTTTTTATACGGGTTGAGTTTTTCCGACTCACATGCCTCAAACATATTTGACCTTGCACCTCCATAATGATAGATTTTTTATCACGCAGGTCAGGTTTTCTCAACTCACATGCCTCGGGTACAATTAGCCTTTGTGTCCCCAGCAGATTTCTTATCATTCTGGTTGAGCTTTCCTAACTCATGTGCCTTCTGTAATATTAGACCCTCATTCTAGAACTAAAAATGTTAGAGAAAAATATCATTAACATCTTAGTCAGCCTAATGTGGTCTAGACCCATATGCATAAGAACGTTTAAGATACATCCGAGATAGAAACGTCGAACTCTCGTGGTGTCACATGCACAAAGACTAAGATCGAGAAAGGTTTCATGATACGATCCATTCGATGTTTAAGTTAGTAACTCAATGTCTTTGAGTGTGAACATAAGTCTTTTTTTTTCTTTTCTCAAGAAAGGTAAGTTTGTCGATGAGCATTTAATACCTTGTCATAAAGGATAATAAGAAAGCTTGAGACTATCTTTCCGATAATAAATGACAAGAATGAAACTTACAATAGCCTTTTTGATTATAAAAGATAAGAAGAAAACTTACGATTACCTGATTTGGACAATTGTCCACATGGGCAACCACGAGAGGAGGGATGACTGTTGTCTTCTCTTCCTCTTTTGGATATCACGTGATGATTACATAGTAGAAAATAATTAGTTAATATTATATTCTTTATCATCTTGCTAGCCAATATTAAGTAAGGTGCAGGACCAACAAACAACAATCGATTGCAACATATGAAGATTTGACAGATGATTCAAATATAATTAATGTCCAATGTTTTAGAAAAATCACATGAAGTTGCTCGATAGAGTAACTGCTAACATATGATTACATAAAGAAAAACTAGTTATGCTTGTTAAATTCTTTGGCATATAACATTTAGCTCATATAGGCCATTGTATTCTGTGCTCATCCTAACTTGACGGCATTGTCAGGTAAGCGTAATTCTTCGAAGATCATTCGATGGAATCATCTCTTAATTATTGACACTCCTTCACAAGTCGAATATATAAGTATAAAAGTTATAATTATATTTCTATTATATAAAAAAACTATAATATCATATTCTGAAATCAAACAACGATATATGAAATGTATAATATATACATTTTGATGTTATTTAAAATATTTTTCTTTGGATACATAAATACAACTTAGTTGGAGCTAAAGGAAGCAAAAGAATCGATATGCAAGATAAACTAAACTATCTTCTTCTTTATTATTATTATTCATAGGATCACTGTAAATGATGAAATATAAGAGATGCGAATAAATATATAATCTTTTTTTAGAGGATCTAGAATAAATGATTAGAAAAATTATCTTAGAATCACATAATTCATATGATTAAAATTATAATATATATTATATAATTAAATAGGATCACATAATCCAACACAATAATCAAAAATATTATTCAACAATTAAACCATCCCATTCGGGAGTGTGTTAGAGATCGTTAAATAGTAGCATGGGCCGACTACAAAGGAAAGGTGGGGCAGAGCCAATTATACCGAAAAACGACTTCGATTGGGAATGCATTACAAACACTCAAAATTAGATCGTAATATAAATGCATAACAATTGTGAGAGTAATTAAACTCATGAGAAACACAAAGTTAATTTGTACTTAGAAAATGCGAGCAAGCTAAACAAATTTGACAACGTTCATCGAGAAGATAAATGTGTAGAATAACATCTAAATAATCAAATGCACAAAAACCAACAGCTATCATGTTCCTAAATTTATTTCTCAACTCAAAAAGTCTTTGACAACGATCACCATTCATCGCGATGCATTCTCATTGGCAGGGTTAGGGTTGCAAGTCAACGCCTGTAGATGTCATCTAAACCTACCTTTTAAAATGTCAACGGAGTGTTATTCCCTGTAGTTCATTCATGTTGCCCAATGACTGTTTCTACCTGTGAGTATCATATGTATATTCACATTGCTTCACGTACAAACATCACAGGATTTTGCTTGGAAGCTCTCTCTCTCTCTCTCTCTCTCTCTCTCTCTCTCTGCAATTACTGCAAGAAGCTGCCAAAGAATCGTCCTTGTGCATGCTTGATGAAAACAATGTAAACAACTTAATTTTTACATGCCATATGAACCAATCAGCAGCTTGAAGAGTGGATTAGTCACTGTTCCGTATCTAATTCAGAGATCAATCTGGTCCATATAATTTAGAAGTGAGAGATAAAGACAAACACTGGTAGATAATTATCTTCCTATGTCTCTATCCTCTGCCGAAAGCTAGCTGATATCCATGACAATGCTATCAGCATCAGCAGGCGATTAAGATGGGAGACACCAGCAGGTTATCTCGATGTGCACATCAACCAACCTCATAATTGGGCATGTCTCGCCCGGAACTTGAACCATGCATGCTTCCGGAGGAAGAGAAGATGACCCATCAGCACTGGTTCACTGATGGTCTGAAAGGAAGAGAAGACGGGCAATTCTGATAGACTTTGATGCAGTCGCCGGTGCAAAGTGGCGGTCTTCCATTGCAGCCTAAACGAAATGCCATGTCGCTTCCACAGTCGATTTGGTGCTGAAAACACCTCACCCGTCCTCTTTTGTCAAAGCAAACAAGAGACGAAAGCAGCTCGCCAACCTTTGTCCTACCACCGTTCGCCCACAAAGGAGAGGCCAAGCTGAAGCATATATGACAAAGCCAATATTTACCATCTTAATCGCAGACCTAACCATGATTGGAGAGCGATGGACGCCGACCTAATTGGTGACGATCGAGATGGGGTGCAGCAGTGCACTGCTTGTGGAGCAGATGGGTTATGGTTATGGCGATCGATGATGTCTTACTGGTTTCATTTAAGAGGGTTAGCGGCCAAATGACGTGAAGAAGAAGGGAAATACTTGAATGTAATGAATGAGGAATCGAGGATGGGGGCCTCCTTCCACGCTTACCACGAATCCCTCGGTGGCTGCTTTTTAGGCTACCGGTGGTGTGGTGTGATCCAAAGAGCCCAAGTGAGACGTAAAGACGAGAGACGTCGCGCGGTTTAAAGCTGAGTGCAAGTCTGTGGAGGAGATGGCACGGTGGGCGCCACTCTTCGTCTCCATCTGCACTCCTTCCCCCGAGTCATAGTACCGCACACATTCGGATCACGCATCTGTGACGTGTGGGACCCACTCTCTCTGCTTGGGGTCACCATCTCGGCCCGTGAAGAGGGTGCAGAAGTGGGTACCGAAATAGAACGTCAGCGCCGCGTGGCGGTCGAGGACTCTAAGAGGATGGCGGCGGCGTGCCGCACGAAACAGCAAACCACGTTCGGATCCAGTTATGCGCAACCGCGTGGCAGGGTGGCTTCGGGCGGTGGAAACGAGTCGCGAGTTCGAAGGCGAAGCAGCAAATATCACTGCAAACTAAACTACGGGATCCGTCGTCTCTCGGAGAACTCTTACTTTGCAGGGGAAGACCGATGAATCCGACGCGCACGAACGCGGAAAAGATCTTTACACCATCAAATCACGACCGTACAGAATTAATCGGACGGAGAGCAAGGATCGCATGGGTCCCAGCGGTTAAAAGTCTGCCGACATGTGGTCCAACGTCTGACCGTCGTCCAAACGCCAAACCCACCTGACGGAGGCGGCATGGTGCACGACGTCTAGTTTCCAATGGGAGGTCGCCACGTAGACGGCCTCGCTTACGCTTCCTTCACACTCGCGGACCACATGAACGCGGCAGCCGCCCGTGGCGGGACCCTCGTGGGTGCCACCGCGAGAGCCGCTTTCATTGGTCATTGGGTACCGCAATACCCAAATTCGACCCATATGCCCTCTGCATCTTTCCTCTTCGTTCCGATATGATGAGCGAGGAAACGCTGCTGCAAGAGGAATCATTCACACGAACAAACACGGTGCATTGGGAATCACGAATCACGCAAAGATAGGAACAAGCGAGATGAATTCTTTTATTCCCACAGGTTCCTGTGGTTTGCAGGCATGCATCTCTCCTTGTGGATTCACCAAGCTTTACATATTCACAGTTACTACAGAGTCTACAAACCTTTCTATCACAAAATCTCAACAAACACTACAACTATACCTTCAAAGCTTATTCAGATCACAGGTCTTCTCCATCAGCTCTGCTCCGATTGCTCGTGTGTTTACCGGCACCGGCCTCCACATGAAGAAGCACTGAGTGCCGCGGATGGTGTTCTGGCGCTTGCTGTGGAGAAGAGATTGATGGAAGCTTCTGCGGAGTACATACTACTGTTGTTTAATACATGGTACGAAGCCTCGGTAATAGTGATGCGAGGTGGCTCGGTGGCTTAGAATTCCAGCATTATGCTTCCGAAGGGGGCTCGGTGGGGGATGCCCTTCCTTCTCTTGGCGCTGCGGAAGCTGGCGGCGGTCGGCGGCGGCGTCGATGGGGTGAAGCTCTGTGTGGCGTTGCTCTTCACGCTGCCGCGGCTGGTGCTGGTGTCGGAGGCGTCTGAGTCGGAAGCCGCGGTTGGCTGCTTCGTCTTCTTCTTGTTCTTCTTCTTCTGGGGATGGTTCTTTTTCTTCCTGTTGTAGTCAGAGGCGGCGCCCGCAATCTGAAATGGGGATTTCGTCGAACAATTGGTTAGAGGAGAAATTAGCGGAAAGATTGGATTTTGATGGTGGTGGTGCGGAAGAAGGTGATAGGGAGGGGGAAACCTTGCAGCCGAGGGAGCAGAAGCGGAAGGAGTCCACGAGGCTCCGCTCGCAGACCTCGCAGATGTTGGTGACGCCCTTGCCGGGCCTCTGCTGGGGGCGCTCGTTGAGGAAGACGACGCGGGCGCTGTTGATAATGTAGGTCTGCACGCCGGTGATGTCCAACACCTTCTGGATCTCCGAGACTCGGATCACGTCGTGGTAGGACGACCGTCGTATCTGAAACCAATGCCAGCAGAAAACCATATCTCATCATCCTCGCAACGATTCCGTCCCTTGCGGGATGAACACGGATAGGATTCTGGGGGATGCAAACGGACCTGGATGGAGCGATGGTCGCTGTGACGCGCGAGGCAGAGGGAGCAGAGGGCGCCGTTCATGCAGTCGAGACAGTACATATTGCACTCGCTCTTGTGGGCGTCAGCGTGCCGCTTGCATTGCACGAAGAAGCTCGTCGACAGCAGCGGGCGCAGCCACGGCGGCCACTGCTCCTCCTCCTCCTCCTTCCCTCCCGCTCCCTGTTCCAGTCCGTAGTATCAGACCCCGCACGGAAACACAAAACCAGCAGAAGGAAACGAGAAAAAGCCACATCTTTCAGAATACAAGACAAAAATCTCACCATGATTCCTCTGTTCTTGCTGTCAAGCTCTTTGAACGGAGATTCTCGATCGATCGCCACCTGGATCATCGGAAAACCCCCCCCCCCTTTCCCGTCTGCTAATTCTTGGTGTGGGAATCAAATAGCTTATGGCAAGAGAGGAGACGAGGGAGCAGAGGTCTCTGCAGGGAACCGAGACAGGTAGAAAAGTCGTCTTTGTAGACTTGAGAAAGAGAGAGAGAGAAAGGGGGTATAGTGGGAGGATGAGGATGGAGAAGGACTAAGATGCGTTGGTTGCAAGGAAGCCTCGCTTCTTTCTTCTCCCCATCACTCTCATGCATGTCTTTTCTACATATATTTTTCTCCACTATTTCTCCTAAACCAAATTACAATATTGGCGTTGGTCAAACGTACTAAACATTGTACCATAAATATCTGTTCAATATAATGCGTTGTCTTTTGAGGAGAGCAATTTCATGCCATGATCCACAATTTGGATGCCTCCAATGTGGACTTTCTTCTCCTCATGCTGACAAGCATCTTACGACAGCACACTATTCTTTAGTAGGTGTCGTTAAGCAATTAAGATTGGAACCCAAATGTCATGATAAAAGTTCCTATGCAAGTTGGAGAGATTGCATTCATAAAGGTGAGCTATGTCTTGTGCATTGGAAGATGTGAGGGTGGGTCAAGTCAAGTAGGAGATGGGTCTCTGTGTGGTGTGGTAGATGTTGGTGGATCACTCCCTCTCTCTCTCTCTCTCTCTCTCTCTCTCTCGTGGAAGATGATCCCAGGTGCTGTGTAAAGCACACTAAATGCAGGAATATGCTTTGCCTTTATCTATGATATGGAAGGAAGAACAAGGAAAAATTATTAGGCCACTAGCAGGTGGCACAATTTCTTTTGTTGTAGTGCATTGGCAAAACTGGAATGGGACTGAGAAGAAGAATCAAAGTGTCATCTTCCAATCATGTCGAGTGGATGTCCGATGCACACTTGTCATGCTAATTCGAGTTACAAAGATCAGCTATGTACTGATTTCTTCATGTCGACACTTCTTTCGTTAGCATCTCTTAAATCAACCATAGTTTAAGTCGATTAAGCGGAGACCGACGGCTATGATTGCATCCGAGTCCCATGTCAGTCCAATGGATGCCGACGTGGATGTGTTGGGCTGTGACGTGGGGCTGGATTGCCTACACGTCAGCCCTCGTTGGATGGCATCCTAGCGTTAGTGCACGCCACCCCGACTTAAGGCACGACATGGATCTCGCCGGGAGGGAACGGCGTTCCATCCACGGAGATGTGCCTGCGTTGACGACGCGGTGGAGCCTGACACGAGGAGATGTGCTTTTTTGGCTTGCGATCGGAATGCGTTGCTTTCCCGTTTCATAAAGCTATGCTGATCCCAAATAGTCTCTCTCTTCGCTTTGCCTACGAACGATCATCGGAGCTTAGCGTCATCGAGAACGAAATCATGATGGTTTCTCTGTTGACGAAGGGCATGCTCTGGGTCAAACTTCAAACCCTCGCCTACCTCGCCTGTGCAAGTCTGATCTCATTCAAAGAGGAAGTTTCCTTCATATTTCTTCCACAGGAACCGGCAAGCCAAGTGGAATAGAACATTGGCCACTGTTTTCGCTCCATGAACAATATCTTAGAGAAGAAGAAGAAGAAGACGAATGACTACTGCTACATAATTCTCCCCCTTCGTACCTGAATTAATAGCTTGGATGCGACATCCTCTTCAGCCATTTAGATTCAAGAGACGACTTTGACGTTTAACTGCCGATCGGGTGAGAGTTTGGATTCCACAAGACCGATCTTGAGTTGAGAGCGTTTGTCCCCCAGGTGTTCGAGCAATTGATTGACTCATTGGCGTCAGGGCTCCATCCGGCCCACATGATCGAATCATTAGCCAGTGGAGAAATGATGGGCTTGTCACAGGTCTGATGCTCGGCTCAAACCTGCTCTGCCTCTCTTCCATGTTCGTGGCAAGAGAAACCCCACGGAGATCCAGCTTTTTCTAGGCAGTACCGTCAATTGTGTGGCAAGAATAACTCCACTTAGAACCTGCTCTCGGAAGAGATGGCTGCACATGTGTGTCCATATCCACCCAGCCTGACAAGTCCCCGAGTGCTCGACACAGCTGCTGCGAGACCTGCATCAAGCAGTGGAAGTTTCAGAGCACATGTTATCCATGTCAGAACACACCGTTTCTTCTCGTGCAATGGCAGTAACAGTAGGGTAAAAAACCTAGCGGTAACAGCGCCCAACTCTGTTCTTATTCTTCTGATGACTCGTGGACGCAGCCAGGTCCACCTGGTCTGACTCAGTGAGTTAGCCACTCGACTGTTGCATAAAGAAAGGCCGCCGACACGGCGATCATCTTTGCTGCCATATTACCGCCCACTATGTCAACGCCTGTCGTATCAAATCTCTGCTTTCGAGATTTGCCATCTGCGCTCGTCCCATTGGATCCAAAAAAGCGCAGAGAAAGGAAGGCTTGCGGAGCAGTAGGATCTAATGCTGGCGCCAGCGGACTTGAATGAGTTGCTTGGGAACATTAGCAGCGACGACGACCGACGACGGACGGCGTTCTTGAGGTCGGCTTTCCTTTGAAATGAACAGATAAGGACGTTGTGTATCTTTATGCCTGTAGCAGTGTTTGATTGACTGGGGCACCAGAAGTGTTGAAACTGGCGACGTTGTGCTCGCAAGTGGTAGTTGTGTGACCACCTACTCCATCGATTAAAGAAACATGGCCGATCCATCCTTGTCGTTATAGTACCTGTAGTTATGGGACGGAACGAAGGGGAGTCGTGGCATCAGCCGTAAATATGGATGCCGATAATGGCGTTTGGAGAGCGGAGAGCCGGCCCGCCGGTTCATGCGGTGACGGGCCCCATCCCGGTTCGGTGAACCGGTGCCGGCTCGACTCGGTTACTTCCGTGGCCTATAAAGGAAGGATTTGGCGAGTTACGGGAGAGGGCGGATTCGAGTGAAAGCCGAAATCTTCGCGCCATCTCTGTCTCGCTTTGTTGATACAAAGACGAGAAGAGCGGACGGCGGAGAATGAGGGGCGACCGGGGATCGACGGCGGAGGAGGCGGTTCCATGGTGGGAGAAGGAAGTCGCAGCAGCGGCGGCGGCGGCGGGGGGGGATGACGAGGAAGGGTGGAAGTGCCGGAAACAGCACGTGCAGCCCCTTTACGGAGTCTGCCCCTCCTGCCTCCGCGATCGTCTCCTCCGTCTCTGCCCGGACTGCGCCAACGTCCGCCCTTGCGGTTGTTTCCCCTCCTACTCCTCGTCGTCCTCCTCGTCGTCCCTTTCCTCCGCCGATCTCGCCAGATCCGGAGGAGTAGGAGGAGAGCGTGGGGGCGTTGGGATCGGAGTGGTGGGTCCAGTATCGCGGCTGATGGATAGCGAACCGGCCTTCCGGCGGTCCCGATCGGTGGGGTTCCAGCTGCTCAGGACGAGATCGGTGGCTTCCACAGCTTCCGAAGTCGGCAACGTCGCGCAACCGTCTCCTCCGTCTGGAGGCGGCAAAGGGTGGGGTACGTTCTGGCCGTTCTCGTGGGCCCTGGGAAGGAGGGCATCCGCGGAGACGGCGGGGGCGAAGCTGTACAGGTCGAGGTCGGTGGCCGCGGGGCGCTCGCCGGATGCGAGTGGCGGCCGCAAGGTGGGGAGGGGGAAGGGGTCTCGGAGGTGGCACTTCCCGAGCCCGATGAAGGTATTCCGACGCCAGAAGTCGACGATGAGGGTAGTTCAAGAGCGGTCACCGTTGTGGCGGGGGTGAGAATGACCACCCTCGACTTAGAGAAAAGAGGTGCGTATAAGGAGATTCCTTTTAGCTTCTTGATAAACGTCGGCTAATCATTATTACTATTGTCACCGCCATCTCATATTTTTGCGTTTTGTAAATATAATCAATTAATTACAACTGATAAATGAGATAATAATCAGGTCCGTGGGATGTCCATCAGACGGTTATCAACCGCACTGAGGAGGGGGATCGGGATAGTGTAAATAGTTTGGGTTTCTTGGGGGAAAGTGCCAACGGAGGCCCTTCTTTAGGGATCGCACGTGCAGGGTGCGTCCGTTGGTGCACGTGACGACGTCGTCGCCTCCACGTTCGTCCCATCGAACGAGGCGCGACGATTGGGCTGTGGTCGTTGGCAACCACGATGGCGACAACTGACACCGTCCTGCCACGTCGAGAACCGCCATTGCTGCCATGCTCTGCTTCCGGTCTGTGCCAAACAGGGAGCGTCTCCGCAGGCACGAAGTTTCAAACGGCCCGAGCTCGGGAAGGGCGCTGAGAATTATTGTTAACGGCGGAATGAAAAGAGAGGAGAGGGGGTCTCGTTTATTCTTTCATTTGGAGATGGAAATATTGCTACGGAACCACCGGTAAAAGTAGGTGATGTTGTCTATTTTCCGTGGAATGTTGCTTATGGATTTCCGTGTTCGACAGTAACTAATGTAAATTTCCAGTTGTTCAAACCATGCAATACTTTTAGTTACATCCATATACTTGTAGTGCAGATTCTGTCCAGGCTTGACTTTTTTGACGTATCAAACGGACTGATTCCAAGTCAACGAGACCGTGACAGAATACCCATTACCCTTGTTGAGTTCGTTCCTTAGCCGGTCATCTCCATGGACACGTAAAGGCCCAGCCCATAGCCATCGCATTAGAGATGAGGCAAATGCTCATCCGAACTGCCATTTCTTTGTGATTCAACGTGGAAACGTTGGATTCCTCTACCGGTCCCACGTCACCCAGCATCGATGTCTCGGATGATTCAGTCAAGATTCCCAGTTTTGTCGGTGCACGAACAACATCTACAGTTCTTCCACTCCCTTTGTTTCCATACCCGATCAACCCCCTCAAATCCTTGGGTGCGGGCCCCTGAAAACCGGGAACCTTTGAGTTAAGTCGAAGACAGCCCCCCTCTTCCGATCCGGAGCAATGAACCGACGGCAGAGATCCAATCAATGGACCAACAACCCAACCCAAACGATCCGCTCTATAAATGGGCCCCACCTGCGGTTTCCTGAGCCACCAATCCCCTGCATTCCTAAAGAAGAAGACGAGAGAGAGAGCCACATTTTATAGCCATACTGTGTATAGAGGGCAACCAAGGGGCCAAATTCCTTCCTCCTTTCTCCATGAAACCCTGATAAAAGAGGGACAGAGGGGGGAGAAGAGGGGGATCGAATTGTCAGCAGACAGCGAGGGAAAGAGACCGAGGAATTGTGGGATTTCCGTACGTTGACTTTATCGATCGATCGATGGGGGCGGAGGGGATGATGGAAGGGCGGCTGGTGTTCACGTACGGCACGCTCAAGCGCGGCTTCTCCAACCACGGCCTCCTCCAGGACATGGTCCGAACCGGGGACGCCGCCTTCGTGGGCGCCGCCCGCACCGCAGGCCGCCTCCCCCTCGTCTGCGGGCCCTACCGCGTCCCTTTTCTCCTCAACCTCCCCGGCGCCGGCGAGCGCGTGTCCGGCGAGCTGTACGCCATCTCCCCCCGCGCCCTCGCCCGCATGGACGAGCTCGAGGGCACCCGCAAGGGCCACTACGAGCGCCTCCCCATCTCCGTCGTCGTCGTCGGTGGCGACGGCGGCCAGGAGGCGGCGGAGGTGGACGCGGAGGCCTACTACGCCCACCGGAGCTACGCGGGGGAGCTGTGGAGGCGGAACGAGGAGACGGGGTACAAGGTGTACTCGGAGAAGGAGGCCAAGGGGTACGTGAAGCGCGCGGATCGCCCGCAGGACATCACCTTCCTCGACCAGATCCGCATCTTCTTGGCCTCGCCCCAGACTTAATAGTACTTAACCGGATGCCAATCTCCTCCTCTCCTCTGCTCTTCGTTTGCGTCGGGTTTCTCTCTTTCTCCTTCCTCTAACATCTCTGTAATAAGCCCTCTTAGATTTCACCAGAGCAAGCAATTTGGCTTGCTGTGTCGCCACTGTAGTTGGGCTTGATGAATTGGGATTGCTCACAAGGAATGGTCATATTCAGCTGAAATCTTGTGCTCGTTCCGATATCAATTGCCATCATGTGTGTGTGCGCGCGCGCAGAGACACGCTGATACGTTCCGATATCAATTAGTAGGAAGAGTGCACGAAATGAGAAGCTTGGCTGCCTCGCCTCAAAGCTGCAGTGCCATGAACAGCTCAAAAGAACTCATCAACATTCAAGAAAAGATATGTGAGGCGACGTGCTGCGGTTGGAATCTATGGTCTACCCTCCAAATTGGGATTCAGAATGATGCGTCAGGTCATGAAATCATCGAGTGACGGTGGAGAGGAAGGTTTGAAGCAAATTCTCAATTTGCTTCCTCTTGTTCTTCGTGTGGGCGACACCTTTTTTGGACGAACGGGAAGACGTGGACAAAGTTGGCAATTTGATACGCTGCTCTTTTGGAACGTTCGTCATAGGACACAGGTGTCACAGAAAGCAAGGAATACAGAGAAGAAAAGTCAAGAGGGTGACATCTTCCGCTGCGTTTAGAGATGCCAGTACATAGGCGGCGAAGAGAAGCGTACGACGAAGGTAATGGAAGCGACCACCGTGTCCACTACTTTAGGCAGATTTGCTGTGGCGGAGATGGGGGTTGGTGTGGCTTTGGAGCCTAGAGACGGCTGAGTGGAGATGATTTGCCTCTACAGGATAACGTAGTTGGTGACGGTGGGAACGATTCGATTAGGTTGAAGCCGGAAGTAGAAACTGGTGGATCTGTCTTCCACGAGTCGAAGTGGTGTTGAAGGCTGAAGGTGGGACTCCTCCTGATCTATCTTCCATGACTCGAAGTAGTCATGACGACGACACCATCGACTCGAGCATGCTGTCCTTCCAAATCAACTCAGCCCACCGTAGTGAAAGCCATGGGCTGGGCGGGCCTAATGGGCCCTTACATCCTTAGTTTCCCCACCCATCAACTCAGCCCACCTTGCGTTTCTTCTTTGGTGCTTTCTTGAGGCTTCCCTCGAGCCATGCCGTCAATTGATAACCTCTATCTCTCCGCCTCTTTACTCTTCTTGTTTTATATGATAACCTCTAACTTAAAGAATTGGAAGGAGCTATCGATCAACCCTTAAAACCTTGTGTCTTGTATAGGAGCTTATGTTGATGGACGGACACATTGATAAGGCTAAACCAATGAAACCACGGAGCATCGAAATGAATCCGATTAGTTTTGTCTATCGCTACGTCGATTAGCTTTGTCCATCGTTATGTCTATGGACGATCTATTTTTGACAATGATTATATCTTTTCTACACCTAAGGTAACACTTTTCTAACCCTAAGTATGATCTTGGTTTCAACCCCAAAACGATATCGGTGGTTTTAGTTTTTCAAAATCGAAACCATAATTAAATCAATAAGGGCTAGCTTTAGAATCATAATCACAATCGATAGTTTTGGTTTAAACAATTAAAATTTTATTTAAAATTTTTAAATATAAAAATTTTATAAATTATTTTTAAAAAAATAAAAAAATATTTTAAAATTATAGGATGGATGATTTGAGCCGAAACTAGAATTGTCGGTTCTGGAGCTGACAATTTCGAGAAGAAATAGAAACTAAATCATTTGGGATTGATTTTAGTTCGATTTGAAACTAGTAAATCATTAGACTGATTAGATTTGAGTTCGAACTGAACCATCATTTAACCTTTCTTTTTGTTTTTTGGGATAGGTTGATTGTTTGATGGATGTAGAAGAATACAGGTGGCTGAAAGTAGTTGGGTCTTTCACTTCCTAATCAAACATGCAGATCTATGGATAGAATGATAAGATTTAGAGACTAATTATAGATTACTTCATATAATTAGTTATTTTTTAATATTTTAATTTGTATACTTTAAAAATATATTAAGATTTTTATATTTATGAAAGTTAAATATTTAATTTCGAGTCAATATGTACTTAGTGATAAACTCTACATAATATTTTCGTAAATAGAATCAACGACATCAGAAAAATAAGATTAAATATTTCATAAGTATAAAGATCGAGATACTAAAGATAAATAATTACATAATAAAATATATAATTAATCCTAAATTTAACGTCATACGATACTTAGCATGACCACTACTTAAAAAAGACTCACGTAGCTAACAAATGATCTTCTAAATATGACTTTTAACTCTTCCGGTCAAATATCTTATCGATTTCGTACATTTCCGATTCTAACCGGATTTTTGTCACACACGCGCCGGTTTTTGTGGCACACGAGACCGATATGTAATCTTACCGGATCTAATCATAAATTTACAATAGATTTAAGTGATAATAAAGATGATAATATTAAATGTACGAAAAATTATATCAATTAACTTAGTCGGAAATATTCAAATCTCGTATTTATTTTATAAAAAAAACAAAAAAATAATAAGAAAAACCCTGCCCGGTCACGTGACCACGCCCCACCTCCCCTAATACTCTCCTCCAAGTCAATCAATCGACGACACACACACAGTAATCCCCTTCCCTTCCCACATCGAATCCCCCCTTCTCCCTTCTTCCTGCTCCGACGACTCGATCATGACTCGTCCTCCCCCTCCTCTCTTCCTGTTGTCGTCGTAGGCAGATCGAATTCAAGGAGAGAGAGAGAGAGAAGAGAGAGAAG